CATGTTTAATTTAACTTCTCAGACTATCACCATCTGACACTTTCTTAGCCCGATGTATTAGTGTTTTGATTAGAGAGGATTTCTGTGCCGGGTGATAGCGTGACTCTGCATTCAGATAGGCGTCAGTGTGTGTTTTCTTTCGGTAAATGTTGTGTGTTATTTTACCATTTCGAATATCCAGAAATTGGAGAGTTTTGTCAGCTTCCACTTCTATGGTGAACTGGATGGACGGGTTAGGAAAAACGTTCAGTATATCTTTGCCGTGTGACCAAACCACCAATGTGTCATCCACATATCTAAACCAAGCAGAGGGTTTTAGTAGGCTTGAACCTATTGGTTTTGTTTCAAAATCTTCGATGTACAAATTTGCTATCACAGGAGACGAAAGAAAGCCCATTGCTGCTCCTTTCTTTTATTTATGGAAGTCACCTTGCCACAAGAAGTAAGTGTTCTTTAGACAGTGTTGAGCTATTCTTGGGATATCTTCGGCTAAACCTTTGTTCGTTACCAGAGTGTCGAGTAATTTAATTGACTCATTGACCGGAACCCTCGTGAACAGAGAAGTTATTTCAAAACTTACGAGAATATCATTAGGGTTAAGCTTAATCAATTTAATTATTTTTACGAGATGTTCAGAGTATTTAATAAATGAGGTCCTACTGATGAAGGGCTGTATTTGTTTTTTTACGTCTTGTGCGTTTTTGTAAGTGGCAGAGCCTATTGTACTATGGGTCTTAATGGGACATCAGGTTTGTGAATGTTTGGTAGCTAATTAAGTCTTGGTGGTTTGAACGCCCTTGGTTTGATCAGGTATTGCTCTTCCTTGGGATTATATGACTTGGAAATGACTGCCGTTGTTTAATGTTTCAAGGTGTTGGTTGGGTCTCGTTTAATTTTAAGGTAGGTATCTTTATCGAGTAAATATTTGATTTTATGATCGTTATCCTCATGGGGCATCACAACAGTTCATCGGCCCTTATTAGCAACAAGAATTTTGATTAATCTTTTTGCTCTCAATTCTCTTAAGGCTATTGCCTCACTGAAATTAATATATATTTTGGCAATTTTTCCCGCAATCCCTCTCCCTCGCATATGCGTTGTCTCCCCAATGCTGATGATAACTTCCCATGCCAGATACTCATTTATGGCTGAGTCAGCCGAGGGGAGGCCCGTATTTGAGACTGATGCTAGACACGGTCAGGAATCTAACTTAAATGTACTTTATTAGGGCATAGGCATGTGGAATGTCCATAGCTGCCCATAGGGGTGTTTGACAGTCTGACGGCCCTGATTTGGTGACGACCAGTTAAAGTCTATACCCTATGGCAGATTCGATCTCCTGGTCAGTCTAAAGGAACTAAAGTTGTATACCAACGAGTCAAACGGCACTGCCCACTGATGCCCATCTCAAACTGAACCAACTAACGCGAGTGGCACTGCACAATCAAAGCTGGAGACCGTTCCACAGGTCCAGGATTTACACACGAGCACGTGCAATCCGTGTATATGACGCGCGTTTATGGGGGACTGTCACGTAATTGTTTAGCCAAGGAGAAGTCGTGGATTTACACAGTCAGGTCAGGTTTTTGCAGATCATGGGTTTATTGGTCACCTTAGTATGCGTCCTGAAACACACACACTCTTTACGAATCGCACTCTACTCAGTGCAGGAGTCTCAGGAACTTGCAACCAGCTCATATGTCACAGAACCTGCTATCAGCTCCCCATGTTCTCTCCAGTATCGCCAAATTGATCTCTAAGAGTGGCTAATCGACGCTAAATAGTCCGTATAATTTCATCATGAAGTCACTAGACGAGTTACCAAGCCTTAAACATCATAAAGTGATATCGCACCTACATGTGTAAATACATATGTGTTAATGCACCTGTAGAATTCAATGTCGATAGACATTTTATGGCAATATCCTGGTGTCTACAAACTGAGTTGTGGTTGTGGCAGCAGTTACATTGAGGAAACGAAACGACATGTCTTGGACTGCGTCCGTGAACACAAGGCAGATCTGAAACACGGTAGGACCAATACCTCTGCTGTTGCCGATCATTGTTTTAACACTGTGGGCTCACACGAAATAGATTTTGCTAGACGGAGGTACTCTGCAAACCTACCGGCTACCTTCAGAGATTTGTTCATGAAGCCATCCAGATATAAACACAAACACAACTTCAACCGAGAGGATGGGTACAAACTGAGCAATAATTTGAAGGACGTTATTAACCAGGTGAAGTCTTAACTGACTGTGATGTTTCCATCCTACCTGCCTATGCCAGCTGTTATTTCATGCTAATCTCTCACATTAACATAGCCACTTCCGTGCCCTCGTCGAGGAGGCCGCTCTCCTCCTTTTCTACAGTTACATGCTAATTTCTCACATTAACATCATGCTAATCTCTCACATTAACATAGCCACTTCCGTGCCGAGTTACATGCTAATTTCTCACATTAACATCACTAGCCCCGGCCACTTCTTTATGACCCTTGGGCTACACCCATTTCAAACCTTTTTAAACAGTCTGCATCAGCAGCAGTCCATGCTTTCCCACCTGAAACGTCGTGATTTATGTTATTTTATACCTATGTGACTTTACCGAAAGAACCAAAGAGTATGGATTCCTGCAGTCACGAAAGCTTCAAATCAAGATTTTATGGTAATTTTAAAGGATGCCAAAACATTCAATCTATTGACATTAAGTTTTACAAGTGCATCAACACGTTCGCATCTTGCTTCGGCATCCGTTATAATTAGCATACATTGTCACCTTAAATTAACACCAATTTTTTTGTATTACTCGATATTTGCTATCAATGTACTTAGTCCTCAAACATTAGATGTTTCTCTATCGATATCTCACTGCTTGGAGAAGTTTGTTTGCTACCCAATGGGAGACTGGGTTCATGTGGCAACTTCAGATTATTCAGGGGTTGCAAGGCGCCTCATTGTGGGACCCCAGCTTCAACCATACATCAGTCAAACTGTCTGCCCTATCTCTGTTCTGAAGAAGGGCCATTGCACGAAACGTTAGTATATCACATATATTATTAAGCAGCACGTTAAACTAACAATTTTATATACATTATAAGTACAGACCTTGCTAAAGTAACATTGACTTAATCTTTGGTTCTTTCGGTAAAGTCACGTAGGTATAAATATATAAATAATAAGTCACGATGTTTCGATCGCAACACAAGCTATCGTCATAGCTTTGAGGTAGGTGTCACTCAAGGGTAAGTAGGCGGGGTCAGAGATGGAAAGGAGTCCCGTCGCCGCACGCACGCACAGCAGCTGGGTTAAAGGGAGAGATTGGCATGTTAATGTAAACTATTACAATGGGAAATGAGCCCAGTCATCGAACACGAGTAACGTCGCCGTACGCACGCACAGCAGCTGCGTTAAAGGGAGAGATTGGCATGTCAATGTAAACTCGTTTAATGGTAAGATAACGTGTCTGTGTCAGAGGACCGGGCATAGCGCCACTTTGTGGGCAACACAAGCTGCGGCGCTGGCTGCTGCACAGTGAGAGGTCAGCGTATCAACCGCACAATCCGCGGATTAAGAAGCAGTCATGTTATCTACAAGGTCCCAATCCGATGTGGACATTTTATCTATTAATACTAAGTGTGATTGTAAGAAAATATTGTCGAAATTATCAAATTCAAATCGGAACAGTCTAATTCTCTCTGAAATTAGAGCTCGGCTAGCCCTGAACAAGATTCGTTTGGTGTTAGGAGAAGTGACAGCAGCAGATGTGGGTGTATTACCTTGTTGTCGTGGCATCTCTTCAGAAAGGTGAGAGACTCGATCAGGTGAGCTTTCTTGTCTCGCAGTCTGAAGAGATGCCGCGACAACACAAGATCCAGGTTTGATTCAACACAGTACACAAAATCCGTGATTTGATCCCATCTGTGAAGGATGTGATTCCTGACATGCAATAATCTGGTGTCTACAGACTAAGTTGTGTCTGCGATAGTAGTTACATCGGGGAAACGAAACGACATGTCTCAGACCGTGTTCGTGAACACAAGGCAGATTTGAAACGTGGCATAACCAATACCTCTGTCGTGGCTGATCACTGTTTTAACGTGGTGGGTTCACACGATATTGTTTTATCCGAGACCAAGGTACTCTGCAAACCTTCGGGCTACCATTAAAGATTTGTCCATGAAGCCATCCAGATATATAAACACAGAGACAATTTCAACCGAGAAGATGGGTACAAACTGAGCAATCACTGGAAGGATGGTATTACCCAGGGAAAGTCATAATTTGCTGTGATGTTTCCATCCTTCCTGCGGTTGTTTAGCAGTTATTTCCGACTCTATGAATTACATCACCTTGTTAAATGTCTTTACATTAACAGACTAAGGTCTCACTAACATAGCCGCTGCTGCTCCCTTTTGCCTCGATGTAACGGTAGCTCTCGCTGTTTAATAGGCTGTATGTCTCACTGGCACGGCCACCGTTACGGTGGTTCTCTTGCGTTGCTACGGTAGTCTCCCACTGTGCAGCAGCCAACGCCGCAGCTTGTGTTGCCCACGAGGTGGCGCTATGCCTGGTCCTCGGACACAGACATGCTATCTTCCCATTAAACTCGTTAACATTGACACACCAATCTCTCCCTTTAACGCAGCTGCTGTGTGTGCGTGCGGCGACGGTGCTCGTGTGCGACGACAGGGCTCATTTCCCATTATACTCGTTAACATTAACATGCCAATCTCTCCCTGTAACGCAGCTGCTGTGCGAGCATGCGGCGATGGGACTCCTTTACATCTCTGACCCCGCCTACTTACCCTTGGGTGACACCTCAAACCTATATATAACCTCTTGTTGCAGCAGTCCTTTCTTGTTCAGCAGTTCTACTGCTGTATCTTTCCACCTGATGGCGATTGCTTGTGTTGTGATCGAAACGGCGTGATTATTTTTTATACCTACGTGACTTTACCAAAAGAACCAAAGAGTATGGATTTTTGCTGTCACGACAGCTTCAAATTAACATTGACTTGGTGCATTTGCTGGAAACACGCGATGGAAGACCCTTCTCGTATTGTGACGGTGATCGATTGATGAATGGTGTTGTTTGTTAACTGAAAGTGGCATACGCAAGAATACAAAAAATATAATCTCTGTATGATATGTGTGTCTATGATGGACGCACTGCGTTCATCATTAGTCACTATTCCATGGCCTCTGTGATCGGCTCGATCCGGCCCAGCCATCTATCTGTTCAACAACCCCTAGGACTGCGCCTATTCACCCGGCCTGCATCTCAACCGGTGAGTGGCTCGAGCTGAACTTGGGCAACATCGCCTCATTTAGCGACCCCCAATGCCCTGAGGCCAAACCCCCTGTCCCGATTGAGCGAGTCGCCCTCCCCTACTCTCATTGCTTCCAAGAAAACAAAGACTTCGGGGAATTTCTCACTTGTTCAGTACTGCTTAGGGATGGCGAGGGTCATGATGATATTAAATATTAATGCTGGCATCTCTCCCCGCTGAGGTGTTTAACCGCATTGTGAATCTGAAAGAGTTGCATCTAAGTGACAATGAACTGCGATCCATTCCTGTGGGTGCGTTCAATCAGCTTGTGAATTTACAAATACTATGGCTGTACAACAACAAACTGACGGCTCTACCCCCCGGGGTGTTTGACAATCTGGCAAATCTGGAGAAGCTGCATTTGTACGACAACCAGCTAACGTCTCTCCCTGCTGGGGTATTTAACCGTCTGGTTAATTTGCAGAAGCTGCATTTGTATCAGAACCAAATGTCAGCTCTCCCGAATGGGGTGTTTGACAAACTGACTGAACTGACTATCTTGGATCTACGTACCAACCAGCTGCAGGCTCTACCCACTTTGGTGTTTGACAGCCTGGTGAATCTGAAAGAGCTGCATCTGTGGGGAAACCAACTGCCATCCATTCCTGTGGGCACGTTCGATAAGCTGGTGAATTTACAAAAGGTGTGGCTGTACAACAACAAACTGACAACTCTACCCGCCGAGATGTTTGACAGTCTGGCAAATCTGAGAGAGCTGCATCTGTGGGGAAACCCGCTGGTGTCTCTCTCCACTGAGGTGTTTGACAAACTCAATCAGCTTAGTCTAAATCCAAAACAATATCCAACTCGGTAGAAGTGCAGCCGTAGAGGAAGGGCTCCTACACGAGGGGGCTGTCGAGAGCCCCTCTAAAGGGGACTTTGGCTTACGATTTCACGATGCAAAGACGTCTGGGAAAACGTGAAGATATCCAGCCTTTACCACACCACACGTGACTCAATAGTGATGATGATAGAGATTATAACGAAATGGTGATTTAACACTCACTTTATCATGCAGAGGCAAATGCAAGCCCATATTTGAGTGGAGTTCTATTGATTATTGCTTTGACACCTGCAAAGCTCATGTGGGCGGGATGTCACACGAGGGACAATCGTAAGCAGAGGGGTGGGGTTGTTGAGGTGATTCTCTCACTACTATGAACGTCGGCCTAGAGAGTAGAATTGAGCATTGCCAGGGAGAGAGGCCAGCGCTGCTGAGACACGACCTGTGGCGACATGCGTAAGTGATTCTGCTCGTACTTTTAAATGGAAAAAAAGATCATAGCTATCCATAGACACAAAGATGTAAAGTTATTTTTCTATTGAAAACGAACATGGTTAATAGCCTAAATCACTGTAAATATTAACACTGAGAGGCGGGAAATATTTAGTGATCATGTTGGTGTTCATTTTCATCGCCGTGTTCTGCAGTTTTGACTACGATCATCGGCGGTGTCTGCTAGGGCGCTGTCTCTGTGGAAGTACCTGCCTAGCGTCCGTGAGTTTGTGGCCACGGGGGGCGACTGGACGGCTTTCCAGCGCTGCTTCAAAGCATCTTGTGCCCTGGTCAGGTGGTCGGACGAGGAGGCGCTAGGAGCTCTGCCCACGTTGGCTCCTTGGCAGCATTCGAGACCATCCCCGAGGTTGATCTGGCAACGCTGCCTCGGGCATGTGCTCAGATGGCTGATATATTTGCAACGCGCGTGGAATATTCGTGCTGCGGAGACGGGGGGAGGCCGAGATGCTTCTCGCCTTCTGCAGCGCGCTGCTGGCCTTGGGCCACGTGGTATACCCGTGGATGGAGCAGACTGTGCTGGATTCTTTGGCACTGGAGAGACTGCTATCGCTGGCCCAGGAGTTGGGCGTCTCTCTTCCCGTCACGGAAGAGGACGACCAGTCGTCCCTAAAGGTGACCCATTGCATCCAGGCCTACGTTAACTTGCAGCGGTGGCCCGGGATGGCTGCTTGCAGAGGACGCAGAGGAACCGGCGCTCTGGGAGCCAGAGCGGGCCTGCGCATCATTCAACTGAGGCCCACGCAGGAGGAAACTCGAGGGGTGACAACCGGAGCAGGAACGGTGACAGAGGGGCCCACTTCCCACGTAGAGGTACACAATTCCCTGTTTCAAATGCGGCCAGCCGGGCCACATCGCCAGGGGGTGTCACAATGGCACCAGATCGCTCTCCTCGCCTTCGACATCCTCCACCCTGCCGACATCCGCTTCCTCGGGCCCGCAGGCAAGTCGCGATGCATCAGACACCCGGCCGCTAATGTCAAATGATGCATCCCCCTTGTTGAGCGCGTCAAGTTCGCACACCATCATCCTCATCGTGTTACGGCACGCGAGCAATGGACTTCGACATCAAGTGGGTGGCCGCAGGATGCGGTTTATTGGAATGTGTTTGCGCACTGTGTAGTGGCGGCGGAAGCGGGGTCGTCCGCAGTAGTTGGGTATGTTCAGGGGATAGAGCTAAGGGTGCTGATCGACACAGGAGTGTCAGCTACTATGATCTCGGAGCCTTTTTGTAAGTTATTTCCGCTGAGGTCCTGTTGTCTTAGCCCGGTCGCTAGAGCGTGTGTCACCACGAATGGCGGCAGTTTGGGCATTATAGGCCAAATACTAGAAAAAGTCCGCGTTGGGGACATTGAGTTGACAGGGCCAGTGTTGGTTTCTAGGACTTTGGCTGTGCCCTGTCTTTTGGGCACCGATTTTCTCTGGAGGATGCCCTTCAAGATTTTGGTTGATCAGGGTTGTATTGAGTTGCCATCGGGATGGCTGTTGGCCTTCCTGAGGTCTCCTACCTGGTTAGAAAGGGCCAATGCCACGGTTCAGGCCCTGGCAAAGGAAACTGTTACGGTTTCTCCAGGCGCTCAAATGGTTGTGCCCTTGCAGTTGCAAAAGCAACTTGGGACCAGGAGCCCTTTTTGCAAGTGCTGAACGTTGGGCTGGGGGCTGCGGTGGTCCAAGCGTGTACAGTTTTGGCCCACGCAGCAGCCGCACGCTGTGAGGAGGCCTGTGAGGGGTCTGAAGAAGTCGTTGCCGCGGTGGAGTAGGGAGGCAAGTCGGATGCGGCTTGGATGGACGTGGTGTGTGGGAAAAAATCTCAATTGTCCGGGGAACAGCGGGGTGAGTTGCATGCCCAGCACCTTGTCAGGTGTGCGGTTTTTCTCGACCCTCAACTTGTCGGGGTTTTGGCAGCTGTCCTTCGATAAAGGATCATAATCATAACAATAATACAATATATAACGCGCACAAATTTGCGGATGTAAAAGCCGCAACTCAGAGGTGCGGAGCCAAGCTCAGAGTCACTCGAAAGCGTGGTTGTAGAAGTGAGTTTTTAAGTGTCTCTTGAAGGAGATGATTGAGGTGATGCTGCGAATTTGCAGAAAGATTGCGTTCCAGACTGTAGGGGCAGCCACCGAGAAGCGGAGCATAGACGTGACCATCCTGGATCTTGGTATCAAGAGGAGGTCGTGAGTTGCACTGCGAAAGCATCTGCCATGTGCTGAGCTGCAAGTCGTCGATAACGAAGAGAGGTACGGGGGGCAGGCAGATGTGAAGGCATGGTGGCAGAGGCAGGCGATTTTGTATGTGACCCTGCTGGCAATGGGTAGCCAGTGGAGGGCACAGAGATAGGCAAGTGGGTCGAGACGGGGATGAGTGCGGCCAATGATGATACGTGCCAGGTTGTGTTGTAGTCTTTGAAGTTTTTTTAGGTTGCCAGAGGAGGACCGGACTAGGACGGAGTTGCAATAGTCGAGGCGAAGCCCAACTATGCAACATGCCAATGTGTTGGTAGTTTCAGTGGAGATGAGAGGATGTAGGCGTCTGAGAGCTTTCAGGTGAAAGTTACATGAACTGATGATATGATTAGTTTGATGGTCGAAGAATAGAGTTGAATCTAGGACGACACCGAGGTAGCTGAAGTGATCGGTGAAACTTGATGCTGTGACCAAAGATGTGTATGTGTGTTGGGAGCGCGGATGAGTTGAGACGTTGCCTGGTACCTAACATGATGGCCACTGACTTTGACGGATTAAGAGCAAGATTGTGTGTGGAGAACCACTGTTGCAAGGCAGTGGTGCATTCTGAGAGCTTCTCAAATCTAGACGCATTGGTAGAATTGATGGGGGTGAACAGACTAGTGTCGTCCACATATGAGTGGTGCTTAACACCGAAGCTTGTGATGAGGCAGCCGATCGGGGAAGTGTAGGCTGTGAACAGCAGGGGACTGAGGACTGAGCCCTGGGGGACGCCACATAATGCTTTTGTTTCAGGAGATGTGGACGAGCTCACCCTGACTAAGGATTGCCGAACAGAAAGGTACGATACGATCTACTTGAGTGCTGAGCCACGTATACCGAAGTCGGATTTCAGGAGGGAAATAAGGAGCGAGTGGTTGACGGTGTTAAAGGCTGATGAAATGTCCAGACTTATAAGTGCAACGATGGAGCCGGAGTCAATAATCATTAAAATGTCATCGAGCACTCTGGTGAGTGCTGTTTCTGTGGAGTAGTTTTGACGGTAAGCTGACTGGAAGGAGCAGTAGTTTGGGGAGGAGGTGATGTGGGGTTTTAGCTGGGTGAGGGCGAGTCTTTCGATGAGTTGAAAGGTTCGCGAGATTAGTGATGGGACGATAACTAGACGGTCATCAGGGTCGAGACTTGGTTTCTTTAACAGGGGGGAAACCAGGCCAGATTTGAGGTTGGACAGAAAACACCCCATAGAGAATGAGGCATTTGCGATGTTCCTGATCATGATGGCGAGTTCTGGAGCACATTGCTTGAACAAGGAACCTGGGAGGATGTCGAGTAGAGATGACTTCATGTGAAATGATTGAATCAAAGAGAAAATGTATTTTGAAGACACCGGCTTGAACGTGGTTAGAAGGTGTCTGGGTGAGTGCTTACAATTTCAAAAAACGGTTAGCGCGGTACGATGGTGCGATGTGAGGGAAGACGTGCAGGAGTTTGCGATGGTGCTCAGCTTGTTGGTCAAGTAAGATTTAAAAGAAGTGGCAAGTTTCAGTGAGGCCAGGGGATCGCTAAGGTGAGGGACCATGGTGCTACCAGGATGTAGAAAATCCTTGAGAGTTTTCCATAGGATGCATGGTTTTCTGGTAGCTGTTTTGATGTGTTCTTCAATGTAGGAGGAAAGTGAGGCAAAGGTACGTTCGTTAGTTTTCCTGCAGGCAGCTCTGTAGGCGACTCGATTAGCAGGAAGACCACTGCGGGACACGATCTTTTCAAGGTGCCTCCTGATTCGCTTAGCAAGGATGGCGGCTCTTGAGAGCCAGCGAGTGTCGTGGGAAGGCTGCCTAGTGGTTCGTGGTTTTAATGGAGCTAGCTTGTCCAGCGCCGCCCTCAGGTTAGCTTCTAGTTGAAGAGCGCAGACAGTTGGATCGGATGATGGGGATAACATTAAAGGCGAATTTGCGAGGAGGTGCTGTAGAGTGGAAAACTTGATACCCTTGAAATTACGGGAGTGGTGGGTGATTTTGATGGTGATTGGCTTGGGAATTTGAAGGGAAAATAGTATGAGATGGTGGTCAGAGGAACCAGTTTTGAAAACTCCCAGTGCAGTGATGCGTCGATCCTGGTCAGGTTCCAGAACCAGGTCGAGTATACTCTCAACATTTGTTGAGGAAGCTCTGGTGGAGCCTGAGTTGGTGATGACCAGGTTATGGCAGGCCAAGGTTGACTCGAGGTGGCTATCAATGGAGGCTGGGGTATTGCCGAGGCAATAAAAGTCTCCAGTAAGCACGAGCCTGTGAGATGGGTTAGGAATGAGGTAAAGAAATTCGGAAAGCTCGTTTTTAGAAGGTAGTGATGCTGCCATC